AAGGCGGGCGGGGGGTGGAGGCGGTGTGAGGGCCTATACGCCTTTCCCACTGTCTTCACTGACATGCAGATTCGTTGACCTGTTAGTGTTGCCTAGTGCTAACCATCTCAGTTCTTATTGTCTGATGCTGGACTAAAATCAGGATGGCCCTAATTGGTTCCAATTTCGAAAATTATCACTATAGTAAAATTGTAATGATTTTATAATCGTATATTAAAAGGGGCATTAAGCCTGTACCAGACTATTGCGAATTTTATTTTTTGGGTTGTTGGCCCTCGTTATCTTTTTAAACTGCGAGTAACTTCTTGAACTGCAAGCAAGCAGATTACAACATCATGGCAAGCAGCGCAATTATCAACAAGTCATCAACTCCAAAACTAGGCCCCAAGACGGACTATCCAAATCTATAAAAAGGAAGTGTCTCCAAGTATCACCCTCCCCTTTCCTTGAAAAACCTTACACCATAATGTAGGTTTTGGCACAAAGTTGTGCGCTATCTAGATTTAGTCTAGATCTGTAGTCTGAGTCTGAGAGCGGGGTGTGTTGTCAAACTGAGCGGGCAAGGACTGAAAAAAATAAAAACAAAAGCAAAGCCAGCCCGTTCTGCGGTGTTGAGCAATGCAGGAGGGGCATCTTTTTCTCCCTTTGTATTAGCCGGTTCACAGTCCTTAACGAGTAAATTAGAATACTGCAGTGCCATCAGTTTATAAGACATATCTGGCTCGTGTAGTTTTTATTATGAATTGTGTTTTATCTGTACACACTTAAAAATTGTGTTTTTTATCGCCGGGACAATTTTTCGTGGGCTGCTCAAAGGAGAGTCACCGTCACTGGTTATCTCAGCCCCTCCTCTCTGAGCCCCAGACCTGGGCTATGTTGCAATGTTGTGATAAAAATCTGTTTTTCTTTTAGATCTGTCAGCCAATTTAGTCCGTTGGTAGGCTGCTTCAAAGGTTTCGCAATAACAATGAGTTCGAAGAGGTGAAGAAACCGCTGGGATTTTCCTCATTCTATTTCTTCAGAGGAATTTATGGTACCGTGAATTGGGAAGATCGTTGAGTCTCATCTCATCAGTTCATTTCATCTGCCTGACTTTGCACAGCCTGTTGACTTTTAGATTGGTTTCTTTGCCATTATAATACATTTGGTTTGTTGACTTTTATAATACTCCTCTAGTCCTATTATTACATAATTACGGTATGGTTATATGAGTTGGATTTGGGCTTTAATGATATAGGACGTTTTTTATTCTATTGGTCTGTCCCCGTCGTTTTATAGCAAGAAAAATTCTAAAATTATGCATACTGAGCCCAAAAATGTGAAATTGTTCGATTCTGTTAATTTTGACAAAGAATGAGAAAGGAAAATAATCAGAAATTATGCAAAAAATGATCAAATTTTGCTAAATTATGCGGGGTGCATAAAACCACGGGGACAGATTGGTACCCCGCTGCATTGCTCTGCCGGACCCCATCTCATGCTCAGAAATTCTCCTCCTGCAACACTTCAAAAACATTCATTTTTATAATCTGCTTTTCAGTTCAAGTTTATAATGCCCAGTCCCCATTGGGGGATCAGTTCTCTATACAAACCTATTGCTGGACTTGTGGCGTATACAAATTAAATGTTCTTGAGGCTGCAATTAAGTTGCTTGATCGGTTTGTGCTACGATAGTCGCTTTGCACCCTCAATCTTGCTAGCCCCGCCTACCAAACTGAACCGATTCAAGTGCCAATGGGCACTGGGTATTACATCATGAATTTGAATTTTTAAAATATTGTTATTATTTCTAATCTTCCATCATTCTATAATTTATTACTCTCAAGATGGCAAAGCAGTCTGTGCCCCGCGGGAACTAAAATTTAAAGTTGTTTTTGCTTTTTAGAATAGTTGTAAGAAATTTTTAATTAGGTTAAACAATTAAACGTCTGACCTATAATGGTATCTCCATAGATGTAAAGGTAAAATTTTCATGATTCAATTTTTACTCCCGCACCCAAAGGAAGAGCCATATTTTTGGCTGTAGAACACTTCATGGCCCTTAAACCTCTACTATAAAAAAAAAGAAGAATGACGTGACTTGTGTTATGTTCAGTTGCCTTACTTTGTCTTCTTACAGGGTTGTTGACTAAGACTGTGACAGTTTGAAGGTTCAGAAGCTTATCACGGCAATAGTACAGATTAACGCACTCCCAGGATGCCTAACTCATCCTGTACAAGTTTTCCGGACAACCCAGATCACTGTGTGAGTATTCTGAGTATTGTAGATCAAATGGTGTTTGTCTGGGGGGGGGGGGGGTTGTGGGTGGTTGGCGGGTGCCATGGTGTGGTTTGCTTCTTCTTCTATCAAACATCTAGCTCCCCTTCTTCTTTTTTATGTTTGTTACGCTCTTGTAACACCTCTAATATTTCGACACTCATATATGACCTTATATGCAGTTTCGAGCGCCACAAAACCTCTACTAAAACTAAACTGTCTTTTTTTGTTTGTTTATTGATTTTTTTGGTAAGTGTTTTTGTACAGCGCTCGCAACTGCATAAGGTCATGAGTGCACGGAACACATTAATCATTTTCAGATTGGTGGGAATTAATTTGATAAAATGTTTTTAAATACCCTCAACGTTATGGTATTTCAACCAACTGTATATTTTCCATACTTTCAGACATGGTATTGCTTTATATTGCTTTCATGGTATGGCGAAAGGCTCGAAAAGGGGCTTTTAATATTAATCATTTGTTTTAATATAAATATTGTTTTCCTGGTCTGTTCATTTCATTAATTGAAGCAAGTGCATACACAGTTAAGTTTATGATTTTATATATTTGCCATTCTTTTCGTAACTTTTCAGGATGTCATTATTGCAGTGCGACAGGCCTCGGGAGCATTCTCCCTCATCGGTTGGTGAGTGCTATAGACAGCAAAATACTTCAGGAAAAAATTTAAAACTAAAGATAACCTGTTCAGAATTTCTGATTGTCTGTCCCTATCGTTTTATGCAAGATAAAATCTGAAATTATGCAAACTGAGCCCAAAAATATGAAATTTTGCGATTCTGTTAATTTTAACAAAGAATGATAAAGGAAAATAATCAAGAATTATGAAAAAAATAATCAAATTTTGCTAAATTATGCGGGGTGCATAAAACCCGGGGGGACAGGATTGTATAATGCATCAGATAGCTTCGCTCTACTTTGTCAACAAACCAAAACAATTATTAGCCAAACTTAAGTTGTGCAGACATTATGTGGTCTTTTCTGCTGAGAGTTGTTGTGGGCAGGAATGCCATGCATATTCCAGAGACAAAATATGATGATTTTTGTTTTTAGTTGTGTTTAATGAAGTATTTTAATTAATCATGAATTGTTAGTCATATTTTGTTTTAAAATATTTTTAAAATGCAAATGTGTCTATACTGTACAATTTGCTTTTGTATGCATTGAGGAGAAAAAATTGAAAAGAAAATGTTAAATAACCAATGAAAGAAGCAATCAGATTCATTGCAGTTAGTGGGTGGTTGGCGGATGCTCTGGTGTAGTTTGTTTCTTCTTTCTCCTATCAAACATCTATCGTCCTTATCTCCCGTTCTTCTTTTTTATGTTTGTTACTCTCTTGAAACACCTCTAATCTTCTGGCACTCATATGACCTTATACAGTTGCGAGCGCCGTAAAACCTCTACTGAAACTAAAAAACAGTGTAGTTATTTTTTCTTTGATTAAGAATCAAGAACAACTAAGTAGATTCTGAGGGGGGGTTTTTATGCTAAGTTTGAGATAGCTGTCCTTGCTTTTGCCACTGTATCCACATATAACAGCTGTGCTTTGATTTTGTCTCCACAGTGTCTTCATGATATTTATCATCTGGTTGTTCAGGAGATATGTTGTGTTTGCCCAGGTAAGCAAAAGTTCAATCTGTTTTAATAATAATAATAGTAATAATAATAATAATAATAATAATAGATAGCTTTTATATAGCACAAATCCCCGCTCAACAGCAAACTCTATGCGCTTCACAATCTATACTATAACCCCAGCAGACCTGAGAGCATTCTGAAACAACTACAACTTCCTGGGAAGCATACAGTGCTAGCAGCCATTTATAGGCGCTAAATCACTGACATACTGACAAGATCTTTCGCTGTCTATGGCCGGGTACCCATTCCCACCTGGGTGAAGAGAGGAAAATTCGTGTAAAGTGCCTTTCCCAAGCACACAATGTCGGGCCCGCGGCTCGAACCCCCGAACCCGCAACCTCACGATTATGAGTCCGGTGGCCTAACCACTAGACCACCAACGCCTCAGTCATACTTGCTATATATATAACAATTTATTCTTCTCTTGTTTCTTGTCTCACCCATCTTATGAAGTGCTTCTGGGCTGAATTTCTCTTAGCTCGTGACATTGCTGTTGTTTTTGGGAGGTTTTTTTGTTTTCAAGAATGGCTCAAAATAGTTAAAAAGGAAAAGGCAACCTCCCACCCATGTTGAACTTTCTCACCCGTCACTGCCACAGTCCAAAGCCTTTCCTGATTTAGAAAGAACATTGAGGAGTGAACAAATGAGAGGGTGAGATGGAAAACTCACTAAGCGACATTTTTGAAAAAAATCAAGATTTTTTGCATAAAAATAAATGCACATTGTTACAGGCTATCAGATGCACTAAGTGTTTTCAGCCAAAACCCAACACATACTTCATAAAGGCCACAAAATATTCTTCTATTTACTTATGTTTTAAAAAAGCTGATTTTCTCAAAAGTGCTATAATGGATGTTGCGGATTTTGCATCTCAGCCCCTCAAATAGTAGCGTAATGAATTAGCAAAAAAAACAGGGAACTGTTATTTACTTTTGTCTTTTAGTTTTTATATTTTAGTGCTGAGAATTCTGTCACAATTCACACCCCCCCCCCCCCCCCCCTTTCTCTCTTTTTTTTTTTGTATAAGCAAAATATTGTCAAGAATACATTGAGTGTTTTACATACACATTGATTTAGAAATTTCACAATAACCATTTCTTTTTTTGTTTTCCGCAGCGACTGATTCTGTACCTCAGCATTGGAGCCTTGATGGACAGTATCGCGTACCTCATGGTAAGTTCTCTCTTTCTTTTTGTCACTTCCTAGTGATAGTGGAAAGGTTTTATTCGTCGTACCCAAAAACTTTAAGATTATGCACCAATCAGGGAATGTCTGTTGGTCCCATTCTATTTACTATTTTCTCTTTAACCGCGGAATTATTTTCTGCGTTTTGACGGAATTTTTTGCCAGATCTTGTGAAATATGTAAAAGGGTATGCACAAAAAAATGTTAATAAAATTGCTGAAATTTTGCCAAAGTGAGAGAGGAAGTAGCTTATATATATTTTTGTAACACTTTCGGTCAAAATAATTCCATGTGGATTCACAAGAGATTGCAGTCACAGTAATGTACTTCACGCACTCAGCAATTTGATTTGGCGCTGGGACCGTCCACTCAGAGAGCAGTCAGGCAAGTGCCACTTTCTGCTACGATCGTCCACCCAAAGTTCCTGAGTTCATTTGGGAAGTTTCTCATAATACTTAACCCTATCCGTACGTCGTGTTTTCATTCGTATCCGTACGATGTAGGGAACCCTGTGCCACCACTTTTCAAAGAGGAAATTTGCTCATTAATCCGATCCATACGCTTTGCATAGCAGTAGCAGTCTGTCAAAATGATTTTTTGAGAAATACTGAAAGTTTCAAAGAGATCTTCGCACTAGAAGTATTCTAAAATATGAAGAATACAACCACGGGGGTACAAAATGACGCCGGGGCGTACGGATAGGGTTAATTTTATGATGGAAGGAAAAAAATCATCGTGGAGTAATATTCAGATGTGCACCATGATTTGTTTTAAATCACACTTTGCTTGATGTTGTAGTATTAAATAAAGTGTAATGTGATGGTGTTTCTTTAGGTCAGACAACAGCAACTCTGATCTGATTTTACAATGTAATTGCCGTCTCTGTTTATGACTTTCCAGGAAAACTCTGAAAATGTACGGGTAACGTTATTGAATTTCAAGAAGTTGTTTGCAATTTTTTTTGTCATTCCCAATGCAAAGCAAGGCAATGACCCAATTGTGTGCCGCTTTTTCTAGTCCATTTTTGCCACCACCACCCCCTCCCCCCCCCCCCCCCCTTCCCATGCCATCCAGAAAAAGATTGTAAACGTATTTACCATTTGTGATTTTTACCACACAAAATTTTACGTATGTACCCATAGCTGTCAGTCAGTACATAAAAACATGTTTATTATGTTTTTAACACTTTGCCGCCTCATCTCGCCGATTGGCGATGTTTACCACCCAGTTTCTTTGGATTTCCCCCAAAATATGATGGCAAAGTGTTAAGGGTCCAAGTGCGAAATTCTGCTTTTGTGTGGGAAAATACGAGTAGGTATTCTCTGTTTTCTAGCGTTGCTCCTCACAGACTTCCCAATGCTGAAGAAAATGTATGAACTTTGTTTATTTAGTTTTAGTAGAGGTTTTACAGCGCTCGCAAATGCATAAAGTCATGTGAGCGCCAAGGGTTGGATGTCAACAGAGAAGTCCTTACAGGGAATCAGACTTACTCTGCTCACCTCTCTAGCTTCAACAGCACAAAGTCTGCTTCGCCTATCAACGCACCCCGGAAATAACGAGTCACAAGAGTGTGACAAACATACAAAAGAAGTAGAGAAAAAATAACAATTGTAAGGATTTGGAAAGAAAAAGCAACAGTTCCCTGTAGTTCAAGCACAGTTATGAGCATAACATTGTTGGATCAGCCCATTTACAATTCTACTGTGCATTAGAACGAGAAATGTCCCCCTTTGGGAATGGCCGAAAGACAGTTCAGTCAGTGGCACCGCCGCGGGGGGTTTATAAACTTTGAAGACCTGATTTGTAAATAATAATGGAAACGAAGCCAATAGGTCAACTGGAGAGGTCTTTCGCTGCAGGTCTACTTTGAATAGCTTGAATTTATTGAATGCAGAAAAGTGTGTGTGAGGGGTTTAGAGAGGAGGGGGTGGAGTTACTTTGCCAGTGCCCATCATCTTGGTGCATCGGTCGAGACTGTTTTTTTGGTTTTGAAAAGTATGCTGCTATTTCAATGAAAAAGGATTGTAACCTTTCCTTTATGAAAAAGAATGTGGGCATGGAATGGAATATTGGGAGATGATTCTTAGATTTTTCCCTCTTTTTGATGATTTTTATGTTTTTTTAGGGTGTTATTTTTTTAAATACACACAGGCAGGACATTGCAAAGTTTGAGTTTTGAAGGAATTACACAGATTACATTTATTTCTTTAAGAATGTGGTTTTTTTGTGTGATAATTTTGGTTATTTTTTAGTGGATTTTTTTTATCTTTGGGAAGAAAAAGTCATGGGATGTCAAAACGTTGCTTACATACCAGTGCTTTTTGCACAATTTCAAGTGTCTGAGAAATTATGTTCTTCTGGAATATGTGCATGTTTCAGCACATTTCAAGAATGTCGTTGGCAATGTAATAAGATGGTTCATGGAAAGTAAACCTCTTTGAGAATTGGTTATTATAAGGACAGGTTACCTTGTGAAGCTCTGAGAGTTCTAGAGTTCTTGTAACACATCTGTTCTTCGGCACTTATATGACCTTATTGTGTTGCAAGTGCCGTGAAACTCTTACTGAAATTAATCTTTGTCACTTTCCTCCATTACTTCTGGTCCCCTCCCCCCCTTCCGTTCTTTACCCTAAACCACCCCCCCCCTTCAAAAAGTCTCCCCGTTTACCTGTGTGAAATATTTGACTGTTAGTGCTCCGAGTTCCTCAAACTTTTCTGTCTCTCATTTATTACCTTGCCCTATGTTCCACTGCTGTTTTTGTTTTGTTTTTTGTTTGTTGGTTGTTTTTTATTTTGCTTTGTTTTCCTTTACCCCTGTTTTGTGTCCCTGGTAAGACTGTTAATAAAAAAAGAAATTGGCCTGAATTTGTGATTGAGAAGCGTAGGATTTGATCTTGTCTGGTACAGTCAAGGAAAAGGGTCTCGTTACAGATAGGAAAAGTTTTTCGCTTTTTTAAAATAATGACAATGATGACAATCTTTATTAATCTTTATTGGCCTTGCAAGGAGAAATTTTCCGTGGTCTTTCACAATGACAGCGGTGTGACAGAGGTCATGTGCACCTAAAAAGAAAGGCAGAGCCGATGTAAACACAACTAGGCCTGTGTTGTTGACACCTGCCAGAGCTCCTCCAATAGAAATAGAAATGAAATCAAAGCTCTGAGTTACAGCTATAAGAATCCATCTTGGAATGGTTGTGTCTTCACTGTTTCTGCATTGAATGAATGCAGATGGTTTTTATAGTGCCCACTTCTGTACAATACAGCTCTAGGCTGTTTTTATCTTTGATTTAAAATACAAGTGAATGAATCTGCATACCTGTGCTCTATAGAATAATGCTCCCACATAAAGCATTCGTACTTACACAGCACAATTGATGACGATATGCACATCACAATACGAACATAACAGTACTAGGAATAAGAAAAACTAACTATCAAGATGGCATTCCATAATTTATGTCTTTAAATGAATTGTAAATTTTGCTCTCAACTTTGTGTCACTCAATCAATGGGCTGCTCAGTATTACTAAAAACTTAACTGTAAAAAAAAAAAGTGCTATTATTGAAGATGTACTCACTCCCACACATTTGCCTACTACTCAGGCTGCTGTGCACAGTCACACTCACACTCACAGACAACTAAGCGATCAGAGCGTGTGTACTTTAATCGGGGTTGAGCACAATATAAATGTCATTTATTATTATTATTAACTACACACACATGCGCATACACTCACATATATAGCTCATCTGATCTGATTTTTGCGAAATTTTACTGCTTTTCTTTCACACAGAGTTCTTCCATTGAAGATGGTCCCTTCTGTGACTTCCAAGGGTGGTGGCTGACGTTCTTTGGTGAGTGATGTAATGTGGGACTTTTATGAGGAGTAGAAATCTTTGTCCCCAGGCTGTCATCAGTTAACCCTATCGGTACGCCATGGCGGGGTCATTTTGTACCACCTCCCCCCCCCGGGGTTGTATTCTTCACATTTTAAAATACTTCTAGTACGAAGATCTCTTTGAAACTTTCAGTATTTCTCAAAAAATCATTTTGACAGACTGCTATGCAAAACGTACGGATCAGATTAAGGAGTAAATTTCCTCTTTGGAAAGTGGTGGCGCAGAGTTCCCCACGTAGTATGGATTCGATAATAAAACAACACATACTCTCCTATTGTGTTGATAACTTTGTGTGGTATCTTTTGTGAAGTGGTTGATAACTGTGTGCGATCTCTTGTGTTGATAACTGTGCGATTTCTTGTGTTGATAACTGTGTGCGATCTCTTGTGTTGATAACTGTGTGCGATCTCTTTTGTTGATAACTGTGTGCGATCTATTCTGTGAAGTGGTTGATAACTTTGTGCTAATAACTGTGTGTGATCTCTTGTGTTGATAACTGTGTGCGATCTCTTCTGTGAAGTGGTTGATAACTTTGTGCTGATAACTGTGTGTGATCTCTTGTGTTGATAACTGTGTGCGATCTCTTCTGTGAAGTGGTTGATAACTTTGTGCTGATAACTGTGTGTGATCTCTTGTGTTGATAACTTTGTGCTGATAACTGTGTGTGATCTCTTGTGTTGATA